ACGTGATTGATACTAAGGCCATAGTCCACGAGTTGTTGCTTCATCCAAAGGATTTGAGCACAACAACTACCGGCGGCTACATATTCCGCTTCGGTTGTGGATAACGCAACACTGACTTGTTTCTTACTAAACCATGAGACAAGGGAGCTACCAAGTAAGTGGCAAGTCCCACTCGTACTTTTACGGTCTAATTTGCAACCGGCAAAGTCCGAGTCGGAATAACCAACGAGATGACAAGAAGAGCCTTTTGGATACCACAGTCCAACGTTAACCGTGCCGAAAAGGTATTTCCTGATCCGTTTCACCGCGGTTAAGTGCGATTCCTTCGGACATGATTGATACCTCGCGCAAAGGCATACGCTAAACATGATATCCGGCCTACTAGCGGTAAGATAGAGAAGAGATCCGATCATACCTCGATACTTTTTGACCTCTACTTCCTTACCTTTCTCGTCTTTGTCAAAATGGTCAGACGTGCTCATCGGGGTTGCCATGGCTTTGGCGTTGTCCATTTCAAACTGTTTTAGGAGCTCCTTGCAGTATTTAGCTTGGCAAATGAACGTTCCATCTTTTATTTGCTTAACTTGGAGTCCCAAAAAGAATGTGAGCTCGCCCATCATTGACATTTCAAATTCGCTAGTCATTAGCGTTGAGAATTCCTTGCACAACGACTCGTTAGTAGCACCGAAGATAATGTCGTCTACATAAACTTGAACCAAAAGGATGTTATTGTTTTTACTCTTGATAAAAAGTGTAGTGTCAACCTTTCCCCTTTGGAAACCACTATCCAAAAGAAATTTACTCAAACGTTCGTACCAAGCACGTGGTGCTTGTTTAAGACCGTAGAGCGCTTTCTTGAGTTTGAAGACGTGATCGGGGAACTCAAAGTCCTCAAACCCTGGGGGCTGGTCAACATACACTTCCTCTTGAATAAAACCATTGAGGAAGGCACTCTTAACATCCATTTGATAAAGTTTAAAATCCATAAACGAAGCAAAAGCAAGAAGTAAGCGAATAGCTTCTAAGCGTGCTACAGGTGCATACGTTTCTTCAAAATCA